GCGGCCATCTGCTGAGGCCCACTGGGGTTCAAGGAGACAGAAGCAGACATAGAAAAAGAAGCATAGATACAAAAGGCAACTGTAAAAGTTGGTCCTGTCCATCTAAAGGTGGGATGATGGACCTACAGTTACTTGACACAAACGCTTTCAATAGGGTTTGTATTTTCCAAAAATGAGCTCAAACATCTATTTATTTAATTCTTTTCTATTGTTGAGAACAAAAGAGAACCAAAATGCACTATTTATATTTATAGGTAGTTAGACATTAATACATACGGTAAAAAAAAGGATTAATAACAGCCGATTCCGATGTCAACAGCAAGATATCATGCCTCCCTAAAATGAAAAAAATGTGAATTGATTGATGGATGTTTTCCCTTTGTTGTGATTTTATGCTCTTTTCTATTCCCAGCCAGCTGGGAGTTTATATTTCTGATACTTTAAGATGTTTATTGCCCTCCCCGGTAGGGACGGTAAATATCGTATTGAGTTTATTAACAAAAATCATTCAGCTCCAAGTCAAACATATTTCAGTTTAAAACTCTTAACTAAAACTAGTTAAACTCAAAAGAAGAATGAATAGTGAACTTTTCAAAACTTTTTTTTATTGTAAAGTGAACAAAGACTAAACTCCTCAGAATCCAGAGTGGAATAAAGGTTCCAAACCACTGATCCTCTCATGAAGTGCAGTACAGTCATCCAGCCCAGTGCTTATAAAGGCATGGAGTTTCTAAATGCTGACGTGGCTGGATAGGGTTAACCTTTGCTAGCTGCTCTAACCAACTCTGCCTTTTTCTTCACTGAGTTTTCATACATTTAGGGACATCCAGGCTGTCAAGTCTTCCAAGCATAAAAGCTGAGACTGAAGATAAATCTGTGAGTCATCTGCATAGCAGTGAAAATAAATCCCATTTTTCCAAAGAATAGAGCCAATAAAGACCCAAAGCAGGAGCTCCTCTCCACATGCTGGTGATGATTCTCCATTATCCAGGTCATAGGCATTAAAAAAACAATCCCCTGGACTTTACCTCCCCATAGCTCTGGCTAACCCAGCTCCAGTCCAGCGTGAAATCAGCTAATTCTCAGCATCAACTTTCTCTCTATGCAGACGACATTCTGATCCATGTAATAGAAGCAGCTGACTGTTCCTCCCTCAGTGTTTCCATGAAAATAGCGAAGCATCAGGATAAAATTGTCATGATTTTATGCAAAGATCTGAGAAACACGCAGAAAACCAAACAGAGAGACCAGGGGAAGGTTTAACAGGTTTATTGAGAACTGTTAGAGATGGGTCCAGTGCTGCTCTGAACATTGGCGAACCGGGACTGAAAAGTGAAGGGGAAGTTCCTGTGGTTAGTTCAGGCTCAGTGGGAAATATGAGCTTCGATTTGCAAAAGGGAATAAAGGCAATGGGACTCACATTTCCCGTAAAAGGTGTCTTTCTCTGAATCCAGTCGGTGTGGGTTGTTCAAGTAATTGAGTTGCTCGTTGGAGGGCGGACAGGGTTTACCCAGGTTAAGGTGTTTCCTTGAGGAACGGAGGAGCTGACTGCCACTTAGATTTCCTATGGTACTTGAACTGTTTCGTGTTCAGGTGAATCCCCTGCTCAGAGTGTAGCTCAAACAATCCTTTGGGGAAAAGTAGATCCAAACCTCCAGTTTGAATCCTCAGCTCGGTTTGAAATTCAGATGATCCTTCCAGGGGGAGAAGGTCCAAACATCCAGTTTGCAGGATGACTTCCTGCCGAGAGGCAAAGACAAAAAACAATAATGTTAAGACTCAGGTGACAAAACTCAGTTTGACTCAGCAAAACTCAGCTTGGCTAGAGTACCCAAAACTGGCAAACACTCTGGCGTCGAGGTAGAGGCAGTCAGCAGCTTAAATGTCCTCTGGTAATGAGGCAACCATCTGCAGGTGTGTAAGGAGGCCAACGAGAACCAGGCGCCTCCTGGTGGTGGAGGGAAGACAAACAAAAACACAACCCACACAAACTGGATTCCTAACAAAAATGTCAAAGAGGGAAGTGTTGCCTTTAAACACAGGATATCAGAACTCCACTGAATGAGGAGCTGTTTTCTAATGTAGATAGATATTAGAAAACAGCTCCATAAAGGTGGCTCGACCTTCCCTTATCCATCATCTGAAGGGTAAACATTCCAGCTTTCCAAGCACCCTATAACAAAGGAGAGCTGTACCTCCCAAATTTTATTTGAAATTATTGTCATCTCAGTGTCACTCGGTGTGGATGCAGGATTTACCATTAGGCAACACTAGGCAGTTGATTAGGGCCCCAAGTTCCTGGGGCCCCATACAATTCTTTTACATGGATGGTTAATAGAGCTATTCCTTATTTGTGCACATTAATTATGTTTTTCTGAGATGGACTGGCGATCTGTCCAGGGTGATTCCCGCCTGTCACCCGTAGACAGCTGGAGATAGACACCAGCAGCCCTTGTGACCCCACTTGAGATTCCGCGTGTAAGAAAATGGATGGATGGAATAATGTCTTGATAAAAGTCCTTTGGCTAAAATGTCATCAGAGCGCTGATAATCAGAGATGGCAAAAGTACTCACTTTCCGTACTTGAGTAAAAGTACAGATACTTGTGTTAAAAAATACTCTGGTAAAAGTGGAAGTACTGATTAAACTTCTTTACTCAAGTAAAAGTAACAAAGTACAGGCTTGTATTGAAGACTGAGGCTGATTCGGTTA